TTTTTTTTAAGACTATTCTATTATATTTTCTAAACGCATTAGAATAACTCGATACGAAAACAAAATTATGCGTGATGACATACATTGTGTGTATGTATCTGTGTGTGTGATAGCATAATTATTATATAATATACAAGATATCCTGTAAATGATGATGATGATGATGATGATGATGATTATACAAACTAAACAGGGAATGATTAGCGTGAAGAAAATAATAAATTGCGAAAATTTGTCATTAATGATGCATTTGATGCATTAAAAGACATCAAACTAATGAAATAACATTTTTCTTTTTTTTAGATGATGCATATCGATATAATAATAATGTATAAGAGAAAAAGTAATAAATAAATATATCACATATGTAATAAAACATATACGAATAGAATGTATATATATATATAACAACCGGTCTGTACATTGAACTCGTCTGGTTTCACGGTCAGCAAGTAGTCATCCTAATGCTGTCAAACGAGCGTTGTATTATGCCAACGCATGTGTGCCCCAGAGCAATGTTTAAACCGATATATAACTGCACTCTTCTTTTAAAGAGATCATAAAACGCTCGACGCTCCTTCCTTTTACGAGTTTTTTTTCTCTCTCTCTTTCTCTTTCTCTTCAACACGACGAATGCAACGCGCGTTCAACTGATTGATATATGTACAACACATCTCTCCACACACATACATATATCACAGTTACAATGATTGCGAATTAACGAAGCGTTACGAATATTCCCAAATGAAATTGTAAATAAAAAATACAATCAACAAATTATTTACCTAAAATAAATTACTATATAAATTTAAACACATCTCTCTCTCTCTCTCTCTCTCTCTCTCTCTCTCTCTCTCTCTCTCGAGAAAACGAGTTGCAACTACTGTCAATCTCCGAGTATTTTTTTTTGTCTAATATCGATATATACATAAATATATGTATATATTGTTCGTATACGATCAATCAATGAGATTAATCTCATTTTTTATTATTTTTTTTTTTTTTTATATCCTCGCCTCTTTTCTTATTTCTTTTCTCCTCTGGTGTTTTTTTTCTCTTTTATTATTTTTTTGTTTTTTTTTTTGTTTTTTTTTTGTTTTGATCTTTTTAATTACATAGGTGGTAATTATCATACTATCGCATCACGCGTTTATTTACAGTCAACTTCAAATAACGCGACTAACGTATTTTCCTTTTTTCCTTTTTTTCTTTTTTTTTATCACTCACTCATTCATTCGTTCGTTCGTTTGTTCGTTCGTTCGTTTATTCACTCACACACGCATATACAGGAACACATATTTTCATTTTAGTACATGATTTATATTAGAAACAATATTATGACAAAAATGATTGCATTCATTTCGAAGATATGTTTATATAATAATAATAATAATAATAATAATAATAATTAAAGAAAATGAATAATTCACGAATCATTTATATTACAAATATTTCTACACATTAAAATTAAGATAATAATAAATTAATAGGAAAAAAAGTTTGATCTCGTTCTTACGAAGACTTGTTCGTGTTTTTAAGTTTTTTCAAAAACATCACACATGATTCGCTTATCATCTTTAATTGATTGTTGTTTTTTTTTTCTCTCTCTTTCTCTCTCTCTCTCTTTTTACCTTTTTTTTTTTTTTAATTTTTATTTATACACCTACCTATAAGGAACGTCTTAAAAAGCCGTCATAATGTTTACTTTATTGCATGATTAATCAGTTCTCTTCTGTTATCGACGAATAATATATTTACGTAATATATCGGGTGGGGGAGGGGGTGGGGGCGGGTCGGTGAAAAAGTTTCTTCGTATTTTTCGTATAGATTTGGAATCGCATAATTCTGACAATACTAATCGGTTCTGGCAATGCTCTGCTTGATTGGATTTGAAAGTTGACACGTTGCAGAGTACAATTATAAACAACAAGTTGCGATATTTGTTCATTCGATACGTTTGGAAATTTGATTAGGAAAAAAAAAATATACAAAAAAACAGGGAAGAATATCAGTCAAGCTGGTAAAAAAAAAATGTATGATCAGTGTTGGTGGCAGAAAGCTGGTTCGTGCGTTTTCAGTCTGAAAATGAAAATGTCAACGATGCCGAGCTCGATCTGATCGACTACAATTGGTGAAAGAAAATTAATAAAATGATGGAAAAATGATTTGATCAAAATCGGCACATTAAACAGTTATGATTATCGATAAGGAATTAAATATCGAACGTGAAAACAATTTTGCAATACCATTTTTTTTAGAACGCTTGATATGGAATATGTAAAAACAAAAAAATCATGATTGGGCTCACTTTTCCATTAAAATACGAACGAAACTTTTGACTCCGCCCCAATTACTTTTTCTCACTCTTTTTCTCGCTCATGCATAACACAAATACACACACGCACACACACACACACACACACTTTTGTAAATAACGTAGTTACAAACAACTCATTAAACGTGAGATTTATACGAAATATTATACAAATACGTACAACGATTGATATAAATAAATATAATAATAATAATAATAATAATAATATATACACGTATTCACAAATGAACATATGTATATATGCATATATGCATATATATTATATATATATAAATACACATAATTGAGAATAAATGTATGCATATATACATGTATATACATGTTGCAAGTAAATAATATTAAAGAAACGAAAAGAAAGATACGAATAGATTATTAGAGTAATGAATTAATTAATATGGCGATTATTTTTTAAACTAGTCAGCCTTAATGGGGTAAAAAAAAAAGAATATTATTTTATAGCAATAACTAATAACAATAATAACAACAACAACAGCAACAACAACAACAACAACAACAACAACAATAATAATAATAATAATAATAATAATAATAATAATAATAATAATAATAATAATAATAACAAATAGAATTATGTAAAAATAGGTAATATCGCTAAATTTCGATTTATCACATGCTTACACGCCCCATAAATGTTTTCGCACATACACACAGACACACACGCGTTTGCACAAACATACTGATTATTATATACACTTCTAATCGCGTGTTGTACGAATATCGATCGAGTAATAATCCCACGGCATTGAAGAAATTATTTATCGAGATTAGAACGAGATTTGCTTTCCCTTCACAAATTGATTTTCAATCTTATTCTTCTTGGGGTGATTGATTAATATCCTATGATGTGTTGTATCACTTTGTTAAAGAATTATTATAACAATTTTATCGCATTTAATAATAATACAAATTAAGAAAAAATAAAAAGAAAATCGATAGGGAGGGGGTGATCGACGAACGAATTAATAAATTGTTTGAAAGCACAATTTAAAGATTTAGAAATAATAAAAAAAAAAACAAGAAAGAGAAAGAAAGAAAGAGAGAGACAGAGAGAGATTTTTTTTATAAATACTAAACATTCATTTGATTAGTAATCAAATATCACGTTTTATTTATTGAAAAACGTAGTAGTATGAATTAATTATGATGCATTCAATGGAAATTGTTTGAGGGTATTTGAAGATTTCAAATCAAAGTAAGAAAAAGAGAGAGAGGTAGAGGGAGAGAGAGAGAGAGAAAGAAGATACGATTTCACTGTACAAATAGCAAACATTAATTAATCTTCTTTTATAAGAAATATTTCAAACTTTATATAATAATATCTATTTCTCATATTCCGTTTCTCTCTCTTTTTCTATATTAAATTAATATTAAATAAAAGAGATTTCGTAGATATATATATATAATATCTTTAAATCTAAAATATATATTGAACATAAGTTTTTCCTTTGATATTATATACAAAAATTCTCTCTCTCTCAGAATTTCACTCACACACACATATATATATATATATATCAACGCCACTTACGTAAACATTTTCTAAATTTTTAATTTCTCGTGATATGAATGAAACTTTAGCACCGGTTTAGTATCATTTGAAAAGCGAACGTGTCTTGTGGTAAACGATTTAACGTTTTAAATCTCTATATAAATATATATACACATATGTGTATATGTATATAGATTTTGTTTTTTTAGGCCATGATACTCTCCCATTTATCTTGCATTCGAATCTCATGTTCTCTCATCATCTTCCTGCAACCACCCATCCACCATTCCTATCCTCACCACCACTCTCTCTTTTTCTCTAACACCATTTCTATCCCTTTTTTTTCTCTCTCTCTTTCTCTCTCTCTCTCTCTCTCTCTCTCTCTCTCACACTTTCATTCTTTCTTTCTAGTCGCGTTTCATTTTTGTAGCCTTTGTTCGACGTGCTCTATTCGACAATCGAGTTATCGATTGCAATTGGCAGAGATGAAAAAACGTTTTTTGAACGTCAATTACGATTAAAGGCGAGGGGGTAGGAAAGTTGGAGGGAAAGAGCTGACGGTGAAAGGGGGGGTGGAAGGGTGGGAGGGAGGCAGGAGGTGAATCAAAGGACGTCGAACGTAGGGGAAGTAATAAACGAAACTACGTTAAGGCTCGTCTTGCTTCCTTGCTTTTATCGCGTTTCATTAAAACGCGCGTAAAGCTTTCTATCCTTCTCTCTCTCTCTCTCTCTCTCTCTCTCTCTCTCTCTCTCTTTCTCTTCCTATCTATCTCACTCACTCACTCTTTTACAAACACATAAGAGGCCTTAGTAAAAGGGGTAACGCTTTTAGGGAATAAAATGCTCGATTAAAGACGGTGTATGATATCATCTATATAATACTTCTTTTCTATGTTCCATTATTTTTTGCATTATTAGAATTAGATTAAAAGATTAAAGAAAAAGAGAGAGAGAGAGAGAGAGAGAGAGATAGACAGAAAGGCAAAAATGAACTATTCGAGATCATCTTCGTAAATTTTTCTTCTACTATTCATCATCCGTCACGATCTTTTTATTACTTTTGTTCTTTTTTTTTTTTCATTTTTCTTCTCATTTTCGTTTTTGTTTGATTCCGATCTCTCTTTGAAAAAAGTATGTTTTGTGTAAGTAATATTTTTTAATTTATTAATTTTTCGTATCATTTATTTTTTCTAGCCAAGCACCGACCATCCACCCACCCATCGGTCACCACCCTCCGTCCATCCTTTCCCCCTCACCATGGTTTTTCTTTATTTTGAATTGTTCGTTTCGCGAGAATTGGGTATATTTTCTTTTACGTATCGATCGAATAATTTCTTTTTTTTTGTTTGGTTTTGTTTTGTTCATTTTCTTTTCTATTCTTTTCTTTTCTTTTCTTTTCTTTTTTCTTCATGGAACACAGCAGAAGATCGTTTGACCTGTCAAAGGATCACGTTAAAGAGTCTCTCAAAGGCTGCTGCCGAATTCGCTCGATCTCCGACGATCGTTGTGTTTGATGATGTAAGTTTCCGTGTATATGCTCTTCGTTCGATCATCGTACCTGTAATAAACGGATCATTGATCTATCACTGATAAGTATTTTTTTGTTTTTTTTTTCATTCAACAAATTGCTTGATATTTTTATTTTTTTACTTTATTTTAACGTACTCTCATGTGGGATCGATCCTTCGTGTCTGGTTTGACAATTTTTTTTTAAAGAATTTCAATTGATTAATTTTTGTTTTTTCCTTTTCTTTTTTTTTTTTTTTTTTTTTTTATTATAAACAGGTGTAATAAACACTTAAACATTTATGCCAGTTAGAAAAAAGTATTTGATAGAGCAGATATATAGAAGATATTAGAAAATAGCGTGAAAAATAGTAATAGTAATAGTAATAGTAATAGTAAATAATGATAGCAGCGTAATGATTATGCAATCGTTGCAATTTAATTATGCGGAATATATTAAATTTGGTTTTTTCTTTTTATTTATTTATTTTATTTTTTCTTTTTTTTTTTTATGAAGTTTAAGCATGCATTTTGTATACTACGTATTTGTAATATTTATGTGTACGTGCGACATGGACAGGCCTGAAAGAATTCATTTATTTTTCGCGAGTAACAAATCCGTCTCGATTTTCTTTATTTTTATTTATATTTAATTATATTAATAAATATATAGCATATATATATATATTTTATACATATATTTATATATTTATTATTAAATATATGCATTAATTTTAGATCAACTTTTTCCGACCTCGCAAAATTTTACCAGTATATTCTACAGGTCAAAATTAGAGAAAATAAAAAAACATTGTTCTTTTTTTTTTTTAATTATTTTACTTATGGAATATGCTGGTGAAATTTTGTGGGAGAGAGGGAAACTGGGGACAACCTCTTTATATATTATAATATATTAAATATATATAAAGTTGTGTATATATATATATACAAATACACGATGGAATTAACAAACGGAGAAGGTAGGGTGTGGTCGGGGGGATGTGCATTGCATTATTCCACAGTACCTGACGCTGTTAATTCAGTTTGATAGAGTGTATCTTTCATACCCTTTCCGTGTATTTGGCTGACTCAAAAGTCCTGTCGTTTATCCTAAAATCAAAAGAGGAGGTATTGTACCCCGTATATTATTTCTTCGAAGATTTTCAATTGGTACATACAGATATACACACACGTGGTCCATACGACTAAACAAAACAAAAATTACCCCAAAAAAGGTGTCCGATATTTTCACAAAACAACAAAACAAAAAGAAAAAAAAAAGGAAAAAAACAAGAAATAGGATTGATTGGTGTTTAAAAGATAAAAAAACGTACAAAATCATAAAATAAGGACACGCAACAAACGAGCCTCGACGAAAAGATTAAAGTTCCGTTTTGTTCGTAACGTGTTTCATATATAACGATCAAGAAGACGCAATGAAAAATACAATGAAAAAAAAAATAAATAAATAAAAGATAAAAGAATAGAAATTAATAAAGGAAGATAAAATTTAGTGCGATTTTTAAAAAGACTTTGACGTGACAGAACTTTCGTATCATCCCTGACACAACGGTCGGGGGACTAGCAGGGTTAATGGGTAGAGAAGGGTTGGAAGAGTAAAGGGGATTAGTAAAGGTTAGGATTTGCTGGTATAAGAAAAATGTAACACCAAACGAGATTTTTCCTCGTCCATTTAAACACGTTCGTTTGCTCTCTCCTTGTGATTCCGATGTTGCAAGCAGGTGCCAATATCTAGCAAGAACGAACGAACGAACGAACAAACCGACGAACAAAGAAAGAAAGAAAGAAAGAAAGAAAGAAAGACAGACAAACAGACAGAGAAAGATATAGAAAAAATAGAGATAGATAAAAAAGGAGAAAGAGAGAGAAGAAAAAAGGGAAGGCTTGCTTTTCCATGCCGACGTGTTTGTCTTCTATTCGGTAAAATCTAAAAACGAAGGCGGTGAAAAGTCTGCCAGAAGAAGAAAAAGGGCTACTCTAAAAGGAAAAATTGCAAAGGAAGAGAGAAAAAAAAAAGAAAAAAAAAAAAAAAGAAACGTGTTAGAAGAGAATAACACACCGAGCAATGAGTTGTCTAGCTAGAAATGGAAAATGGGCCAAGAGTTATAGAAAAATAGAAAGATAGAAAGAGATGAAGAGAGAGAGATAGATAGAGATAGATAGAGAGAGAGAGAACGAAGTGCATACCTCGAAGTGTCAGACCAGATCGTACCTTAGGGACGGCCGGCGGAGGTTTAACGCTTCGAGATCGGACGGCTGCCGCCTGCAGAGTGAACAAAAGGCGCACTGTAGGGTGTTCTTGAAAGCTTCCCGAAAGTCACGATTGAAGTACGCGTATATCAGCGGATTTAACGCCGAGTTTGCGTATCCTATCCAAAAGAGGATTGCTATGACGATATTCGGACAGGGACACGTACGGCAGAGTGCTGTTATGACGTACCTATAAAATAAATTATCTCAGAAATATCTATCTTTATATTTATTTATATTATAATATATATATATTTTTTTTTTTTGCTAAAAAATATGTGTCATCTTTCTTTCAAAATGATCGGTTATCCTGTATGTATTATATTATTTTTTTGCGTTGTAAACAATAAAGTTTTTCTTGAAAATTCGGTAGAATTTTGTGGGCCTGTACGAGCAAGCAAGTTTGTGTGTTAATATAATTGACAATGTAATATAAATGTGAGATTATTTTGTAAATGAAATTTAACAATTTAAATATTAATTGACAAATGTATATTTGTTTTTGATTATGTATGAAATAATGTACCATAAAAAGAATGGTAACCAGCAGAGTATAAACGTGCCCATGATGATTCCTAATGTCCTAGCGGCTTTGTGTTCTCTCTTCATTTTCATCATGTTCTTGTCTTTGGTAGGAGTATGCAATTGGTCCGTGCTAATCTCGTTGAGCGTTAAAGTTTTCGATGAACCGGCGCTGTTGAGCTCGCCGTTGAGATTGTTCAAATCTTTGCTTGGCCTATGGCTTAATAACATTGCGTTACCGAGACGACTGTGCATTTGTTTTTCTTGACGATTAGCCTCTTTGAATATAGAATAATAAGTAAGCATCATAATGGTGCACGGTATCCAAAAAGATATACTCGATGATACAATGGCGTAACCCTTGTTAACACGAAAAACACAATCATCCGGATGATCCTGTCGATGTACGCTGTCTTCGACAGTTGTATACCAATCGTTGAATATCGGTACGAATGAAATGATAGCTGGTGATATCCAACAAGCGAGCAACATACACGCGACCACTCTCTTAGTCATCTTGATGGGATACTTCAGAGGCTTAACTATCGCGTAATAACGATCGACGGATATGCACATCAAGTGTAAAATCGAACTCGTACTGAAATAAACGTCCAACGAGTTCCAGACGTCGCACATGAAATAACCGAAGAGCCATTTACCTTTGATTTGTACGCTCGCGTTAAATGTCATCGCAAACATCGCTACGAGCATGTCGGCCAATGCCAATGACACCACGAAATAATTCGTTATTATACGTAATTTTCTATGACGCATTACCGACACCATTACTAATAAATTACCGAACACGGCCATAACTATTATCCAACCGAGTACGCAACCTTTCAATATCGTTAAGGATAAGTCTGGCCAAGGATCCTCTTTTATGGACTCCTTGCTCTCATTGTTCACAAAACTGATGTTACCACTTGAGGCTAAGTCCAGGACTGACGTCACGCCTACCAACGAGCCCTCCGGACGATCCGACGCTGTAGTTAGCGTCGTCATTCTATCACCTAAAAACCTCCCTTCTTGCTTGCTTTCTTTCTATCTGCTTCAACTGACTTTTTATTTTCTTTTTTTTTTTTAAACCAGTTCGACTATAAACTACTAAATCTTACGTCATGGCAAATCAACATTAGACCGATCCTCATCTTATTCTTATTCTTTTTCTTCTTCTTCTTCTTCTTCTTATAATCTGAAACGAGAAATAAACTTATTTCAATTAATTTGTACACTCTCTGACAAATCCTATTGATCGAAAAGACAGACCAAAAAGGGAAGAGGTTAACGAAATCCTCTTGGAATTAAAACCTTCCTCCTATTTCTATTCGATTCTATTTACCGTGCTAACGCCGGAACGCTAAGATCGATTAACAAGAAGCAATCATTCGAAATCTTTTTAAACGCATTTTACACTTGCAAACAAGTTTTCTTTCAATTCAATTTGGAAACATTTCAAAAAGTTCAATGACATTTTCTCTTAGATCCTAATCAATTCACAAATAGATCGATACCCTATCAATTTATTTATTTATTTTATCAATTATATTATTCGCAATATATATCGTTTAAAAATTGAATAGAAAAATATATGAGATTAAGATATAGGTGGAGTTTTGTTTAACTTGTTCGAAAAATAATTCGAAGAAAATTCGATAATCTCTCATGCGGACGGGACATCTTTTGAAATATCCGTTTGAGCAATGTGTGCCTGTGTGTGTGTGTGTGTGTGGACGATTGTGGTATGTGTATGTTAAAGAGAAAGAGAGTTTTGCATATACATTTCACTCTTGAAGGCTTTTATATCTTCGCGACAGTTTCTCTCGGTTGTCACCACTCGAAACGAGGACGCAACGGAAGAGCAGGTAACCTTGAATGACGCGTTCTCTTTCTCTCTTCATTTAGCATGGTCGGTCTGACGGGACAGGGCCGTGTCAAGTACACTCATCCTGTGCACGTAATTTACAATCCACTGTTTTTCCCGGTAAATTTAGGTCGATTACCTTCGCCCCCGGATTAGTATAGAAAACGTCGGGTAAGACGATAAGCACGCTTCATCGAATAGTGGGAAAAATAAAAGGTGATACACCTTTTTCATCTTTATACGTGTGTATGTTTGTATAATATGCATGTGTGTGGCATATGAGCCAACGTTTTTTCCTTTATTATAAAATATATGCACCATATTTTCTCTATTTTTCTTTCTTTCTTTCTTTCTTTCTTTCTTGATATTTTTCATTGTTCTTCTTTTATTATAACGAAGAAAAAGGATGATGGGGTTGTGGTAAGAATTATTAGCCAATAACACGAGTGCATACGAGTACGTATGAAGAAACATTTGTTTTTTAGATGCAATTTGTATATTATAACATGTGTATATAGATACAATTTTATTTTATATTTATTTAGGTTCGTTTTAAGTACATTTTTATGTCATTTTCTTTCGTGTTTGTAGTAATTAAGTAGAGTATAATATTTGAATGCAAACGAATATGTGACATATGTTAGAACATTTTGAGAAAATATTATTTCATCAGTTTAATTTTTGTTAGAAATTTTCATTTAAATTTTCTTTCGAGTAAATTTAAATGCACCTTTGATAGAATTACATTTAATTTAATTAAATGCTTTTTTTGATAAAAAAAAGATATTTAAAATTGTTTTAGGTAGAAAAAAAATTATGGTGAATTATTTTTGTATTTAATAATAATAAAACACACAGTGTGTGTGTAAAACGTTCGAATGCAAGTGAATATTTGTATGAGCAATTTAAAAAAAAATTGTCGTGTAGTCGTAAAAAATAATTGCAACTTCTATAAAAATGTTTCATTGTAAAAAAATGACGACAAAAGAACACAATAACTGCGATTTAAATTTTTTATTAAAACATTGAAAGATTGGCATTGAAATAAATCGAAAAAAAATATTATTAAACGTTATTAAATATTAAATATATATAAATCACCTTCACATATATACGTCTACCAACGTATACTAATACACATATACATATATACGCATACGCGTAAAAAGAAAATGGAAAAAGATGTAGATGTTTCGAGAATATCTCAAAAGCTCCTAGTATTTCATTCTACGAAATCCGAACTTGTTTGCATCGTATTCAGCATGCAATTTCACGAATAAAAAGAAAGAAAGAAAGAAAAAGATAGATACCTAGATAGATAAATAGATAGATAGATAGATAGAGAGAGATAGAGAGAGATAGAGAGAGAGAGAGAGAGAGAAGGATGAATAAGGTTCAATGAACTGCAACACTAAAACATCTTTCAATCTCGAAATTGAATTTTCATGATTCCAACGATGGAATATAAAATCTACGAGTGACACACGTAAAGTTCACACAATATCGAATTTATCTTGAGATAACGATCTTATATACAATTTTGTGCTTCCATCAAAATGAAATAAACATATAGACAGAGACAGACAAGCGGACAAATAAATGCATTCACTTGCAATTCGATTCGAAACGTAGAATTTTCATTTATACAATATTTTAGTAATAAAAAGAAAAGAAAAAAAAAAGAAAAAAATGAATCACTCACGATACTAAATGGTAAAGACATTTGTTCCGTTTTCATTCGATTTATCTTTTCAAGTACTATTCAAAACACATCATCTTCAAAGCACATTTTATGAAAGATGATGCATTATCTTGGTATCGTGCGAGAAACGTTTACATGATATATAAAATGATATTGCTTTTACTATCTCTTTTCTCTCCTAATCGATGCTATCGCAAAGTAGGGTATTTTCATGCGCTACTGGCTTTTGTTATATTGTGTCATAAAAATATATATATATATATATATATATATATATATATTATATAAATAAAAAAAAATCTAGAGAAACGTGGAATATGTTCACGTAACAGAGAACACTAGTACAATTCGTTATGTATATATGATACTATAAAATATATAAATGGTCGGTTTTATTGTCTATTTACTGAGCACGATTAAAGAACAGGATATACAGAGTGATTCAAAATGAAATATTATTACTAAATGTTTTCGTACAATTTCATAAGGATATTAACTTTGGTTCTTGCAGATATTAAAATAGTATTATAGAATTAGGTTAATCCTTTAGCGAATTATATAAAAGTTCTTTCTTTTTTTTTTTTTTAAGTATAATTTTTAGTAGTAGAATGAAAATGTTCTTTAAATTTAAATAGAAATTTTGTAAAAAAAGAAACCAACAAAAATTAACAAATGGTACTAATTGTAATACTAATAAAATGGATTGTGAGTGAGTCATTAAGTTTAATACAAACAAAATCTTAATTGTTTACAAATTAAAATTATCTTCTATTTAAATAGAATATTAAAGTACACTTTTACATCCTTAAGAGACCACTTTAAACAAATGTGTTTTGTACACCAAAAGATTAGCCCACCCCTATCACTTAATTACTAAATAAATTAGGTTAATATCTCCATTAGTTAAACCAACTAGAAAAAAACACTGGTACGACTAGTAAGAGGGGTAATTTGAACGTAAAAATATTTCCCATTTTTTTGTTGACTTATTTTTACACATTAAATTATCCACCGTTTCTGTTCGATTATATTAAAAAATATAATTAAATAATACGGGGTAAAAATCGGACAAATTTATTGGCCAATTAATTATCATAATAATTTTCAATTTTCTTCGTATCTATTACCAATGAATTATTATAATAATTAATACACTTTATTAAACTTTACGTGAAAATCACCATTGAACAATAGCCATTAGTTTAGAATTTCATTCTAAATAATATCATTGATACGTTACCCTTTCAACATAGATAGATACATTTTAATGCAAAAGTATAATAATCAGATGCACATTATTCGAAAAAAAAAGTTCTAATGAGATTTCCAATTGTTATTGCGATATAATTCAAAGAGTATGAAGTTCTCAAAATGTTTTCAAAAAATTCTTAAAGTTAAGCTGAATTTTTTAATAAAACGCAGAAGAGAATGAGAAAAACTGGGTAGTAGTTTCGGTATAATATATTATTCGGTTTTCTCGATTTAAAAACGTAAGCCAGTCTCAAGTTTCCATTTAGAAGAAAGAAAAAAAAAAAGAAAAGAAAAGAAAAACTTGACCTGAGTGGAATCGTACTATGGGATAAGTATATATGGATCGATATCGATAGAATCGAATATCGAATCAGACTGAACGACGTCGTTCCTTTCGAGAGATAGCCGTAATTTAGAAGTTAGAGTACGACGAGTGTAATAGATTGTTACTTTCAAATTTATCGGGCAAAGTAAAGCCGAGCTTTCGACTTTCTTTCGTAATTTTGAACCTTTTCAATTTGATCATGGAATCTCTAGAATATATTCAAACAAATATCATTCCAACGAGATTCGTATTATAAACAAAGAATTTAAGGGATGCATTTAATATTTATTTTGGGTTTATTTTATATTTAAACAAAAAAAAGAAAAAGTATCTACTTTTTTTTCATTTATCAAATTATTTCGATAAAATATATATTATCTTTTCATTCTCGGTATTTTAACGATAATGTTTTGGTGTTGTTTAAATTTGAATAAGAAATAAATTAAGATATCAAAGTTAGTCGTTCGAAATGTCAAGTTATTTACAGTTTTAACATAAAAAAAAAGAAGAATGTTTCGATAAAATTTAAGAAAAAAAATAACAAAATGTAACGCGACGAAACAATGTAATATAAAATTTAAATATATCTTGCATACGTCAAACTCTTTGACTACTTTGCATAAAATATGAGATATTTTATGTATTTTTATGATAACACAAATACATACGAAAGAAGAAGACGATCGGCATTTCAATAAATATTAATTAACGAAAGTAACATAATGTGACAACAATAAAATAAAATAAAATAAAATAAAATAAAATATAAAATAAAATAAAATAGAGTGATGTGAAATGTAATGAAATGAAACGTAATAAAAGAAATTTAAATAACATTAGGTTGTGCATCTCTCGAAGAATAAAAATGCTTGAGATTACACGTCATTTGAAGAAATAAAAAATATAGGAAAAGTAAGAGAGAGAAAATGGTTAAAATGCGACGCGACTCGTCGTTGAAGGAAAAGCACACCCGTTCTGTCGCGTCTTCTTTATTCGCATTCCGCGATGGCACGTAAGGAATTAGAAGTAGAATAGGAACGTCAAGGAGAGAAAAGTCACGTCATTTTCCAAG